TCACGATCGTGGTCGCAGGAACGTTTTATTAAGGAGGCACACACTGTTGCGGGACGGACGTTCATTAGATACGTAACTATTCGTCTCACTCACCTTCCTTAATCTCTTCCTCTGCCCTTATTCCTCTGCCCTCTGCCATTGATTGACGTTTCCGTCAACTACAGTGGTTATTAGTCCCGCACGTTTCGTGCATTTTTTTGTCACGAGAGGTTGCAGTGATCTTCACCCGCTGGATGGTGAAATCCGCCGACGACCTAAACGTCGACTTATGGGATTTTTTGCAACTAAGTATATACCGTATGCTGGGAGCATACCTCCCCAGCCGGGACCAGGTCTAAGCTCCCGTCTGGACTCTCTACATGTGATGTAGAATAGTGCATGTATGTATAAGTGTGTGTAAATAAAGAGGTGGGTTAGACAAGGATAAGGAAGGGCAGACCGCGCGTGGTCAGTGGCCCGTTTGTTAAGGTACTGCTCCGGCATTCGCCTGGTGTTATTCAGAGAAACCACGGAAAACTACCAATAAGAGCAGCCGGTCGCAAGACTGTTCTTCTTCCAGACAACGGCTGAATTCTACACAGTTATCTAGCTAGTGTCGAAACTCCTGCCACCACCGGGACTCGAAACCTAGGGCCTCTGGTCACAGGCACGGTAGCGACATCAGTTGATGCCCTAAGCCACCTACACTGGGTCCTGATTTTGATTAGGAATTCCTCTCCGCCTTCCCACACAGTTACTGTTAGAATACTAATCCTTCCTTTAACCGAGCACGGAGGGTACAAATACCGGTTCTTTATTTTATCTTGCAAACCGTGTCTGGCAGCACATGCTTTTGTTTTGGCAATTTGGCAACGCGTGAAATACCTTCGGCATCCGTTTCTCTTTTAGCGACCCCCGCCAGTCGCGTGCCGTCCGATTTCGGAGAGGGAGAACGCAGCTATTTAAGTTGGAAGAAAGAGAAAGCACTTATTCTGTCCTTGGGCAGTCATTCATTCTCGTTTCATTCATGGTCGCAAGAATTCTCGTTTAGGGAAGATGAATCGCTTCCAAAATGTTGAAGAAGAATCAACATTTGATGGAAGTTTATGTCGTATCTAAGTATTTTTTATTGTATCTCTCTTACTTCGTAAGAAAAGGAATATTGTAATAGTCCGCCACAAAACAGAAAAAATCTTATTCTTGGGCACTGGTAAAAAGTGAATTAATCTTGTTCTGACATAGTAGTAAATTACTTCCTCTAATTCGTAGTGGTTAGAATCCATTTTTTGTGGGGTCCTTGATATCAAAAACACGATTAATGGCAAAAAGTCTGTCCGTCAGTGGTAAAAGCTAGCGCACGAGCTGTTCAGTCAATATTCTCCAAAGCTGATTATCCCGAGCGACCTGAATGAACCGGAGGCTTCGGGGTTTGAAATGGATATTTTGATTCGTGAGTGTACTTTACATGAAACCTCAACAACATTTATAAAATGTTTCCAAAAGTGGCTGTAAATTTTTTGAATGAACTGTGTCCTGGAATAGCGTAAAGGATGCTTAAGAAAATGGTGCAGGTCTGATCCCTAATTTTTCGAAAATTGCAAAACTTCAATTTTTGTTTTCTTACAACTACGATAATGCAGATATTTTTTCTTAATGTAATCTGTTCTTTAAAGACATCTTCAAATACGATCATGTACAATTTTTCGAAAATATAATAAGTTTTCATTTTCCTCGAAATTTTGCACGAAATATAGGCAACTTTTATTTTTTAAACAATCTTTTCCCAAAAACGGCACCAAATATTTTCTTGAGATGTTCTCCTTGGATGAGCCAAAAGATGATACAAATACGGTACTAGTCTCATTTGCATTTTTTAGTTTTGAAATGTTATCTTTCCGGTTCACTATTGCAAAAATGTCTTATTTCTTACGAAATAAGGGCTATAAAGTAAAACAAATCATTTTCTTAAAACGTCACTTTCATGCCCAATTATGTACGGGTGCATAATTTCGTAATTTTGTTACCTATTTTAGGTGCCTGAATCATCACTGTTTTGCACCTAAGATGTCAAAACGTCACATCGCAACAACAAGCAGATTTGGTTCCTTACAACAAAAGAAGATTACTGATGTTTCAAATTCTTCTAAGTGAAAATTACTGCTACTTAAATGTTCAGAAATATCATATACACTGTAGTTACCAGGGTAATAAACGTTTTATTTCGACAACTTATGTTTCAAGAATTAATTAGTCAGTTCTACAGTAATTATAAAATCCTTTCTTTACCCTACAAATGAGCATTTTATTTATTTTGTTTATTTTTCTTCCTTCGCAAATTTTGTTCGGATTATCCGAAATTTCGGATTTGCGGGGTTCGGATTAGCGAGGCTCTACTGTACTATAAATTCAGAAGGTTTTGAAGCACTCTCCTGAGACCTCCCTATCGAAATTGCATCAGCAGTGTAATGTTTATCTCAGCAGCGCACATGTTGCACGGAAAAAATTGAAAATGGCTACAAGTGGCAGGCCCTTCAAGAACTGAAGACACCAGACAGGGACGGGTGTATGCATTCCTGGTATTGATTTAGGAGCTTCATTGAATTAGGGCTTCAAGTCCTTGGCTCCTTGTTTTTAGTGATCATCCTCTTTTTCACCTCGACAGAAACGTAAACAAACACAACTGTCAGTTCTGGTGCACGTCGAAACCACATGAAACTGCAAAAACCTCCTTCATTCTCGGAAAGTCGGGGTTTGGTGCCATATCTCGCCACCGGATTATAGGACCATTTATTTTTTCTCAGAGACAATTACATCTGAAAAGTATAAGTATACACCATCTCAGCTTATCGGAATAACGAACCTCTTGTTGAAACATAAGACTCCGAAAGGGGTGACAGGAAACAGGACACTGCTAGAAATGCGATAAAATAACTTTACCGTTCCTAAACATTTCGTTACCTCACACTTTTGGAGAGCAATATCTTAGAGATGGTGTGGAGATTAACACATAGAATTTGCTTCTAAACGAAATAAACATTCTGAAGTTATTCATTATAAAATTTAAAATATCTTTAAAAGACCCTTGTGAGTGAAACGAACAAAATGAATGCGAAAGAAATTAATCAGTATTTGCACTAAACCTGGAGCCCGCCCATTTGGATCTATTATTTTTACCCTCTCGTCTCCTACAGGTGGCCTCTTCAGATGAATCACGTTTTCTGCTTGATGGTCTTTGGCATATACGGCGTGAAACGTTTGAACGCAACCACCCTACATCAATCGCCGTACGGGTCCATGCCGGAGGAGAGAGCGTGATGGTGTGGGGAATGTTTGCGTGGCCTTCCCTGGGTGATCTCGTCATTCTGGAAGGCACAATGGATCCACAGAAGTATGTAGCCATCCTTGGGGACCATGTTCACTCAACCCCATAAGTAGATCGTTTTTCCTGAGAAAGTCGGTATCTACCAGCTGAGCAATGCAACGTGACATACAGCTACAGTGCACGTGCGTGGTTCGAAGAGCCCCAGGATAAGTTTGCAGTACTCCCATGGCCACCAAACTCCTCCGATTTAAACTCAATCGAGAATTTGTGGGACCATCTCGATGGGGCTGTTCGTGCCGTGGATAAGCAACCGAGGAACCTACAGCAGCTGGCCACAGCATTGGAGTCGACATGGCTCAACTCGTACATTCCTGTCGCTAATTGACCCTCTTCCTGCAGGTCTCGCAGAGGTCAGCACTGTAAAAGTGTGTTATTCAGGATTTTGACGGGTGGTTATGCGGGGTGGACATAAATGTGACTGGATTGTGTATAAACATTGTCACTCCAACTGTTCACTGTGTATACTACTTCTACGCATATCATATATACTGACGATTTTGTTCACCCCATGGATGGATTTAACAATTTTAAATGTTTATAAAAATATGTTTACATTAGTTTAGTTTCAAGTGTTTAAACAAAATCATTTACTAACGATATCTATAAACCTGAAGATGAAGTCGCATCAATCCATGAAACATTGTTCTATTTTGAATCTCACAATAGCCCTTATTAAAAGGGCTCATGGATAAAAGAACTGGTTGCCTTTAATTAATTTTAGAAACCACCTATAATAATAAAACGACCAATACCAACTACAACTGAATTATATCAAATTTCTTTTTAAACTAAAACCCTTAGTGTTTAAAATACGTAGATTATATAAAATGAAACATTCTCTCCAAAAAATCGAAAAGGAAAGGAAAAAATGTCTCCCACTTTTAAAACCTCTCCCGTCTTTCTCTTTTCTCTTAACTTGCAATATTGTTTACGGTCTAATACCAGTACGTACTGAATAAACAGAGTCCGCGACAATTCTAGAACTCGCGGTGCATTTCGGTCAAGGAACGAAGACTTTCTGACGAGAAAATTCACAACGTTCACCTGGTGCATACTCTTAAAAGTGAAATCTTCGTAGTTAAGTACTCTGAAAATCCGAGTGGGCCGAAACGCACCGATGGACTTCTAGGGCTCCTGCGGTAGAGGCGGGAGGGAAGACGCTGTAGACAAGGCAACGAAGTTTAGCGAAGCAAATCGAGCCCAAGGACGCCGCTCGACTCCCGACCAGGCGTGTCCTCGCGACCTGCGACGCCGCCCATGGGCTGCTCTTTAAATGCTTTGGATTGGCGGAAGTTTACTGTAGAACGAACGTCTTACCATTCATGGATTAACGATGTCTACAATTATGTAAACGCGCGCTGGTTAGTTGAAATAGTGAAGCTAGGAATACTTTATCATCGCTCTTTTTGTAGCTTTATATTGTTAACAAATTTCATACATTTTTCTTTTCATTATTTGTAAAGTTTATTCAGTTTTATTCTTTTTGGCGATTTCTACCGTGCATTTGACAGAAGTAAACCATTGAGAACGTAGAAACGGCTTAAAGCGCTATCTGTTGATACTTTTAGGAAATATTTGGGTGCAGCTACCGCACCATGTAGTGATTCTCACAACTTCGACCGCTTTTCTCTTTACCAACTTACTTCAAAGGAGAGATTCAGCTCTGCCAATCCTCAAAAGTTAAATAGTCGGAGTTTTTAAGAAGTGAAATGTGCTGATAATGTGAATTTTATTTCTAACAAAAAAAAACTTGTGAGTGAGTGAAGAAGCTGTAGTATGCATTTAGCTATGTTTAAGGTTAGTGAAAGCAAACAGAATTTTAAAGAGGATGGCAAATGTGGGAGTGGCTGAGAAAAATATGGTGAACACATCAGAGCAGAAGGTATGTGATTCATCAAGTAAATAATAAATATTTACTGATACTTATAAAATTTTCTTTCAGAAATGTCTTGAGCATTTCAGTAAGTATTAATGCATTTGAATACTTTTCATAAAAGTCGACGATTTTTTAATTTCAGATACAATACACAAATGATTACAGCACTGTATCAAAATGTTCCACAGCACAATATGGATATATAAAAGATGGGTACATTTCAGAATTAATGCCATTCACAAATCGGCGTTCACCTTTAATCCATATGGGGTACTATGTGAGAGTTGTTGTAGTTGATAGTGTATTAGAAAGATTCCTCAGAGTGACATCAGAACGTCCAGCACAGGTAATGCATTGTTTCTTTCCACGTTTCTTTTGAATAAAAAATAAAAAAATTGTGAGAATCAAGACCAATATCTTCATTCTAGATAATATCTCTGGGGGCAGGATTTGACTCCACTTTTTTTAGACTAAGTGATAACTCGCATGAAGGCATTGTTTATTATGAAGTAGATTTTCAAGAAGTAGTGGAGAAAAAGGCTGCCATTTTAGATGGATCTGAGTTGCTAACAAAATTGGTTGGAAAGTTGGCTGGTAAGTACTAATGAATTGTAATATTTTCAGAATATTCCTTTTAATAATAAAAAAATCTCATTATAAGTGGTGAGTCTCGGTCCATAAGGCCTGCTAATTCACCCGACTTGGCCTTATAATATTTTCCTTCCACTCAATATGAATTTTGTTTATATTCTGCAATGTTTAACTCTATCCTCCAGTGTTCTCCTCCCCCTCCACACCAAAGAAACACGAAAAAAACATACTATAATCACTATCATAATTAACTTTCCAGTTCATCCTGATGTGGGATTTGGTGGTAAAAATTACTGGTTATTAGCCTGTGATCTGCGCAACCTTAGTGCTCTTGAAGAGAAAATGGTACATGCTGATGTGGATTTTTCTCTTCCCACCTTATTCTTGGCTGAATGTTCAATAACCTATATGGATGAGCAAAGGTAAAATTATTAAAACTAAAGTTTGGTTAAAGTGACATGTGCATTGAACTTTCCTTCTTGTAATGTGGAGAAATTTATGTAATGGTGAAAAAATAAATCACAAACTCAACATAAATACACTTTTTGGAAACTGATTTTATCATTGACTTATAAACAACTGTGCTGCTTTTAAAAACAAAATAAGTGTATGTCTGTTTTAGCATTCAAAACATACTGATTTTATCAGAAATGGATAATTTGCTATTAGTCTGCATCAATACCCTGACCCTGGGAATTTGGAAGGGATCGTTTATTTTAGTGTGGCTCATGCTGCATTTCAGAATTTTCTCAAATACTGTAGCAATTTTCCCCCCTTTCTCTTCCATTTCTTAAAAAGATATCTATTTCTCCTTGATTCTCTAAAATAATTTTTGGACAAAATGTGACAGTTTGGTACCAATTTTCTTAGTAACATGAGAGGAATCGCAGAAAACTAACATTGGGAAAACCAGAAAAATAATATTGGGGAAAAAACACATACACACATTTTCATCTTGTGCCAACAAGGGAAGCATCTGTTTGAATATCTCCTATAATAGGTCATACGTAAATTCCGTAATACCAAAAGGGGGATGGGGGTTTGAGACACCATTATGGTGCGTTACATAGATGTAAGAGACTATTCATTTATTGTTATGTAACATTGATATTCATTATTTTAATGTTTTCAACATTATTATTGAATTAATTCCATTTTTAGTCTTATACTAAAATATTAACAAATTAAAACATAAATACCTTAAATTTATCATATGTAAATTATTTATTAAACTGTAAATGGAAATATTTTTTCTTTCATTTTTTATTAAATCTGTAAAATTACAAAGAAAATATTCAAACCTGGTGTGTTGTACATTCTAGAATCAATTTAAATTGGCGCAGTAAACTCTCGCCCACTTGTCATCCAGGACGAGGTATGCATGGCTTGTGATTACAAATTTTCTCACTTATGCCTCCTTCCTTCCATTAAAAACTGTCCCCAATCTTATTGTTAGGTGCATTCAGCATTGCTAACTAATTCCAACTTTAATTATCATAACTTTTGATATAAATCACAAATAAAATTAATTCAAACTTTGAAAAATGAACACAAATTTTACTGTGCTAAAATTTATTTCCAGTTTCTGCATTTATGACGGAGGGAGGGATGGCATTGAGGGATATGAGGGAGAATGGGTTGTTGGAAACAGGGCGTAATTAATTAGTGGGGGAGAGGTAAGTGTGCATTGCAGGGGGGCAGAGGAGGTATTCAAAATACTCCAAAATTGAGTTCCGTAATTTATTGACATCCCCCAACTTTGAAATATGAATACAGTGAGTCTAATTGTGACTAAAAACCTTGAAATTTAAAAAAGATGTAAAAAAACTTTTAATCACAAGACATCTTAGGTATGTCAAATTGCAGTGAAATTTTTCACTTATCTGCAGAGAAGGCTGAACTATAAGAAACAAGAATTTTCTGGATATTAAAATGTAATTTTGGAAACAATTAAAATATGTAAAATGTAAATAAAGGGTATGTATATTATAGTAATTCAACAATAGTTGTTGGCTGTTATATAGAAGTTTTACATTGTTCCTTGAGCAGGTTTATTGACAATTGGGTATAAAATAACCAAAACCTTTATATTGTAATAAAGTGAGCAAGTAGAATGTAAATTATTTGTAGTGAATATTTATTTTCAGTTCATCAGCTCTTATTCGTTGGGCAGCTACTAAGTTCAGGAATGCTACATTTGTAACATATGAACAAGTGTACCCAGATGATGGTTTTGGCATTGTCATGCAGAAACACTTTCTAAACCAGGGTAGTCCTCTTTTATCAATGCAACACCATCCAAATCTTTGGGCTCAGGAACATCGTTACCTTAGCAGGGTAATTTTTTTTATTTTGTGTTAATTATTGTGTAAATTATTTTCATATTTTTATGTTTTCTTTAAAATGAATTATATTTTCATGAAAACATGGTTTTCTCGTAGGATTGGTCTACATGCCATGTTCGATCTGTCTGGGATGTTTACAACCACCTAACAGATCGCAATGAACAGATGCGGGTATTAAAGATTGAACCATTTGATGAGTTTGAAGAATGGCATTTAAAATGTTGTCACTATGTTTTAGTAGTTGCATCAAGAGGGAGTTTGGAAAATTGGGCTGAGGGTATGTTTGAAAATATTGCTCATCCTCCTCATATACCTGTATGCAACCCAGTGCGATGGACAGAGAGTAAAGTACAAAATACAGATTATTCAGAAGGAACAGTAGAAATATTTGCTCATGGGTCATCGTACGTACCTCTGTGTCGAGACAACAAAATTGGTGCAATTCTGCTTGTGGGTGGCTTTGGCATTTGTGCCTCCGGCCACAAGCGAATTGACGACATTTCTGTGATAATTGATCTCCCAATGAAAGAGTCTGAAAATGAAGAAATTAATTCAGCAAGATTAGTTCATTATGATATCGAAGGTCATGGAGAGGGACGATCACCATTGGCGTCAATGCATCCCACTTGTACAACATTGAAACACAATAAAGCTAATATTATGGCTAGGGTTCTAGTATTTGGTGGAAGACTCTCTCCAAGGTAAGTTAGAAAGATTTCCTACAATTTATTACTGGAAGCAAATCTTCTCTAGAACACCATAAATACAGTAAAACTTGCTTAATGTGTAATGTATGTATTGTGGAAATCTGTCAAATGTTAACAGAAATTGCAGTCAGGGAATATATTTTGTTTATATGAATAATGCGGAAAATTGTCTAATCCAGAAAAAAAATTTATCCTTTGAGATTTTGCACTGAGGAACTTTTACTTTAAAAGTTCATTGTTGTAGAGGTTATGTTTGAAAAACAATTTTTTTTTTAAATACTAAGATACATAAAACAAGTGTCACATATGTGCCTACATTTCTGGGCCCCTCTATCTCCCACCAAGCTCTCTTTGCTTTTTAATTTACAAATGACTTATTTTACTAGTAAATTAATGAAATATAATACAAAAAGAATGAAATAATTTTAATAATACAATTAATAAATAACAATTGGTATTATATTGAACCATTTCAGGATTTCCAGATGGTTCTCTTCCCCAAATGTCATGTACTAATATCCAAATTGTCAGTTTAAAAAGAAGGAGGGGGAATAAGGAATTGATCATATTTATGGAAGTAGAATGTTTTATTACTTAGGACTACAGGCCCTCTCGAAATTTTCAGAAGGTTTTCCCCCCTTCTCCATGTGTGTGCCTATGCTAAGATTATTTCTCTAATGTAAAGTAAATATTATGTCTCTATGGAAACATGTTGGCGCTCTGACAGTAGAATCAATTTTATGGGAAGTTATCAGTAAACATTGTGAAAAGAATTTTGTTATAAGTTATATTAGGTAGTGTATCTAATGTGAAAATGCTCATTGCAATCCTTAATGTGTAACCTCAGACTATTATTTGGATTGCAATTGAATTGTTGCTCAGACTGCAATTATGGCTGTTCGCACTTGTGTTATAATTACAGACTGGAAAAAATGTGTAATATGAAGTGACATAATATGTACAAAAATATGTATAAGAAACTTTAGGAAATAGTAACAATTATGTAAACTCAGATGCAATATGACCAGATCAAAGTTCACTAGAAATGTTCAATACACTTACAGAATACAAGTGTCCGTATAAAATATATTTTAAAAAAAAATCAATTTGAAACTGCATTAATAAATTATTTAGTAAATCAATTTTGAAAATAAATAATTTTCTCTACAACCAATTTTTCTCAGAACTTGCAATTTAAGTTTAAAAAAAGAACATCACTGATATTTTCCACTCCTAAATGTAATATTATCAGTGTTGTACACTCAATACACAATAAATAAGTGGGGCAGTGCAAATATTAATCCAATTGCTTACATCTTGGCTGTGAATTCATATGGGGCAAATCAAATCATCAGCATGCCAATCTGAATTAATGCAACAAGAATTATGCTGAAATTTTAATTTACTTTTTTTTAATTAATCAAATAGTTTGGGGGAAACAATTTCAAAATAATTGGTAGTTCTTTAAAAATATTTTAAAATGCATAATGACCATTTTGTTAGGATTGCAACAATTCACTTAAATCCCAATTGTAAGATTTATGCATACAAATGCAAAAAATATGTAATTACATGAGAATTTGGACTCTTAGTTATAATGTACTATTTATTTCTAATTGTCTTGTAATAAAATTTCAGCAAAGTTGCCAATCAGGAGGGTTTCCTTCTCCATATGCCATTAACTCATCCAGGCAGTAAAGCATGTGTGACAACAACAAAGTTATCTCAGCCAGGCACAGTTTGGGATAGGCCTCGCGCCAGATGGAGACATACTGCTGTACAAATTCCTCCTGGTGGCTCACAACCCTGGGCACGCGTGCTGGTGTATGGAGGCAGGTCACCATCTTATGAGGTACATCCTAAGCCTTCATAAGCTTTGACCATGAATAACATAACCCTAAATTTAACAGATACCTACAATAAGTGCAAAAATATTGTTTTTTAATTAAGTTTTCTAAAGCATTAATAAGTTTCATTTTCGAAATTATGTTTTGTAATAATTCTCTTCTGTGGTCCAGACATTGATTTGTTTCGTGTGTGAAGAAGTTTATGTCATTGCAATTTTTTTAGGCAAGTTTTTTAAGATTTTTACGTCTCAAGGGAATATAATTTTACTGTTTAGAAAAACAATATTTTTGGATATTTCTTTATTGTATAAATATTGTATATTTGTACAATAAAAAGGTATAATTTCAATTGTATGTATGTTATGTTGTAAAGTGTTTTGTGATCATTTTCGTATTTTTAGAAGGTAATGCTAAATGTAATTTAGGAAGCTTCATTTGGCAGACTAGGAAGGTTTTGCAGCCAGTCAACCACCATCTAGAAAAATATTTAGTTTTCTTGAAAAAATTAGAGTGAGAAAACACTCAAATGCATTTTGAATTTACATTTCACATCGAAAAATGTTAAATGAGGTTATCAAATAATGTTGTATAAACTTTTTTCAGAATTTAAGTAGTTTTGTAGTAATTTTGAGTTGTAAATGAATTTTCAAAAAGTATCTAAGCAAAATTTGTTTAAAAAGAGCTCTGAATGTTATTTTTTCATGTTCTTATGACATATTCATGGTATATTTGTACTGGTGGATAAAGTAATTGGGATCCTTTTCTCTAAAAGTTAATGCATTCCTTTTAGTAGTATATATTGTGAGATTGTATTGCTTAAGGATTGATGAAATGTTTTTGAAATGATTTTTGTTTTTTTGTTTATGTGCTTATGTGACTGATAAGTAGATTATGCCACTTTATAGCTGACAGCAAAGCAAAAACCCTTCAATATCCTCATACGTTTTTAACTACTAGTCCAAACCAGTCAACTTTTAAGAGGTGCCAAACACTCTAAACACCCAACCTGGGCCCTCCCCATCTGATGGTATCTCCCCATAGGCAGGGGTGGATCCAGCCAATCATTTTGGAAGGGGCCATCACAGATTTTTGTTAACATTTGTTATTGTATTGTTTATTATTTTTGAAGTGTATATATGATACTGTACAATATTATTTTTAAATAATTACATAGTTCTAGCATAAATAAATATTTAAATCAATTTTGCCAAATAATAGAAGCTAACAAACGAAAACCCTAAGCCTTTTGGAGGGGCCATAGCCCTTCTCGGGATCCGCCGCTGCCCACTGGTGGTATGAGCTCCTAAACACAGAGTTAGGGTTGAATGAGCAACATAACATATTCATCATTCTGGATAGAAATGTATGCATGACTTAACGATCACAACTGAAGTTCCACTCTTGCTACACTATTTTTGGAAGTATGTGATGTACATGAATTAAATGAGATTAAAGAAGTTATGTATTTTTAAATAAAAATGTAATAAGTGTGTAACAGTGATAATCTCAGAAAACTATACCAGTATTAAGTTCTGTACTTTCACTCCCTAACTGCTAATTAAATGGAATAATTATGGCATAAAAAATGTCAGATAGTAAATTATCATTATTAAATGAGTGCTGTAGAAGAAACTCATAATTGCCAGGAGAGAAGTTAATTTGTATTATCTTAATGAATTAGAGGATAAGATATCTTTATAGTACAGGAAAATTTTGAGCTGAAACTACATCAAAATGTTCTGTTTGTTCTTGAAAATCTGCTTCAATTGGTAATTTGATCCTGGAAGAAATATTTTAACTCTTTTTAAAATTTTAAGAAGGAATCTCTTAATTTTAAGGCTTTTGGGATGCCTATTCAGTCAAGGGGTAAATCTGGCACTGCTGACAACTACATTGAAAGTTGTTTAAATACTAAGCATATACTGAAATTGTTATACAACTCTAATAAATCATACATACTTTCAAAATATAACATTTTCAGAGATATAACAATCTATATAACTTACATGCTGACAAATGATGGAAGAAAACATATTTTATCTCCCAAACAATGTCAGTAATTACAATTTAACCTGCTTTAAAAATGTAGTATATTAATAATAATTCAAATATTTCTCCAAGATAGCACGAATACTACATGTCACATCTTTTCAGTGCTATAAATTATAAAGATACTGTTTTCATTCCAGGTTTTTGGAGACTTGTGGATGCTTACTGTAGCTGCAGAAGTTGGCAGAGTCACTTTCAAAAAACTTGAACCTGCAGGACCTCATCCTTGTGGACGCTTCGCTCACAGTGCTGCTGCTCTCACAGAACGAATTGGAATGGCTGTGTCTGGAGGCATGAACCAAGAATTTAATGTTTTAGGTAAGAACGAGTTGAAAAAACCAATTCTATTATAGGAATGAAATAATAAAAAAAATTAAAAAAAGATTGAAACTGAAAGGGAAATTGTTTAAGCAGTAAACAGAAAATAATGCAAAGAGTAGAGAAAGAAATGAGAACCTTGGGATATATCCAATCCATTGGTGAAATCCAGAAATTTTTAAATAATTACACTTTCAGAAAATAAGTTTTCGTTGTCATCATCAAAAAGAAAACACAATTTCATGGGAAAACTATATTGTAGCAGATGCAGCATTTTGCTCTATTTTTGAACCACCACCAGGATTGTGAAGTTTGTTATTTTGTGGAATCAATATTTGTTTCCCCGTGTCATAGAAATCTGCTGCTTTGAATAAGTACTAGATGACAGCCACCTACAACTCTGCATCTTTGTAATACATATATATTGCTTAAGGTGTAAGAAAAGATACAAATAGCCAGGGCAAAATCCAAATTATAGGGTGGATTGTCAAACACCCAGCAGAACTTCTGCAGATCTATTATGAGCCAAGCTCTTTGTGACTGACTACACCTTATTCAGATCTCACACCCACAACAATTTACTTCTTTTCGTACACCTCAGGAAATTACAAATGTTGATCCCACAGTGTGACAAATGTGTCAGTTCTGGTAGTGATTATGAGGAAAAATAGTCCAATGTGTGCTGTATCTGCTAAAATAAAGTTTTTCCAAGAAATTTTGTTTTCTATTTGTTGATGACCTAAGGAAACTTACTTAGCAATCTTCTAGCAAGCTGAGATTTCTGTGTGCTGTGTTCATTTTTGAGTAATCCTATGAGAACTGTTTTAACAATATTTACCTCGGCTCTGAACAAGCTGAAACGTGTTTTACCCCTGAGAGATAACATTGCCTGCACTCATGTTCTCGATTTAGTGTTGCTGAGAGGCACAATTATTACCTTGTCTAAATCATTCATCATTGAAAGTAATTCCAAGACTTAGTTTATTTGAAATATTTCGTGAATTATGAAAATGATAAGTTAGGATTTAGGACTACAATGATTGTTCAGATATAGCAGTGATATACATATTCAGAAGATCATATTGTAGATTCCCGTTTTCTCTGATCGGAGAGTCCAGTAAAAGTGGCTCAGGACATCAACTGATGTCACTGCTGTGCTTCTGACCAGAAAGTCATAGGGTTCAAGTCCTGATGGTGGCAGGATTTTCAACACTAGTTAAACAGCTAGGTTGACTCCAGCTGCTATCTGGAGAAGAATTCTAGTGGACAGATGCTCGGATTGGTAGTTTTCCATGGTTTCTCCTATCAACACCATGTGAATGCAGGAGCAGTACCCTAACAAACAAGCCACGGGTTGTGCACGTTCTTTTCTTCCTCTTTCTTTTCCTATTCTCACCCCTTACTTTTACACACACTTATGCTCACAAGCACTACTCTATCACAGGCATCATACTTGTCCCAGTTGGGGTAATGCCACGCAGGTGAGAGATAGCTGGATGGGAAAATTCATGCTAGCTAACATACGTCAGTGCCAGATCTCACCACCCTGTAGGAAAGATTACAACCACCTCCCATGATAAAAACATACACTACACTTAAGGTAATAATGACCTTAATCATTGAGGTGCCTGGAATCACTAATTAATCAATCAATCAATTTGATCAGAGAGAGGAAGATACTGTTATACACTAGAGCAAGTATGAGAAAAATGTAAATGTGTGTATCATCCTTCTTTAACAACTTTTACTTAGATAAGGCTTTTTCTTTCTTCAACTGTCCTGTTCAGTAACATTGACAAAATGCATCATTCTCAATTTCTTGTTGCAAAAGTCAGGAAATAGTGTATCAAAGTGTTGCCATTTAGATTTTCTAAATGAATATGCTGCAATATTATTATTTATTTACCAAGTGAACAAGATAAAGTAAGAGACTTCTGGGCAACATTCAATTTTGAAAGTTTTTCTTTGCTAAGGACAGGTTTCAAATTATATTTGAGGAAACTAACTACTCATATATAAGTGCTATAATGTTTCAAACTGAATAACAGTATGTAAAACATCTAATGAATACAAACTTCAAAGTATAAAAATTAAAACTTTTCTTTTACTCTGATAAGCAAAACTGACCAGTAACTGGCATGTTTCTGCTCTATGGCATTACATTTTATTTTGCTTGTACTCCCCAGCTTAATAAGTGTAGCTTTGATTCTTGTGTCAGAATAGGAGATAGTCTGTTCATTGAAGAAATAACATTCAAAATTTTGGAAGTTTCTTCCTCAACATTTAAGCATGAAAAATACATATTTCTAAATCTTTTAGAATAATGAAATGTACTAGTATACTAATTGATTCTTGTGTGGTGTAGTTTTTAAATTTCAAATTCTGGTGAACTTTTTAATGTTTAGTTTGATGTGTAGTTATTTACTACAGTACTTTTGTCAGTCAAGTTTAGGTATTACCATTAAAACACACAAGATTTGTTTACATCTCCATTATTAAATATCATCCTTTATAACTTGTTTGCTGAATTTTAAACCAGTTTTGCTTGTTAAAGTTCAAATTATTTTGTGCCACCAATCCTTTAAAAATACTGTTTTTAAAATATTTTCTTTCATCTTCAGGCCTTTTTGTGTGTGTGTGTGTGTGTGTGTGCGTGCGTGCGTGCGTGCGTGCATGCGTGCGGGGGTGTGGGTGTGTGTGTGTGGGTGGGGGTGTGTGTGTGGGTGTGTGTGTGGGGGGGGGTGTAAAAAACATTGCAATTGTAAATTTTACTGAGGTTTTTTGCAAATAAAAAAAAATGGAAGGTGGCAGCGCAATTCTGGTTTTGGATTCAGTCGACATACATAAAGAAGTGTGTGCCACATCTTGGGGCTGACAACTTTTGTCTTCTGTCGAGTATAATGCTACAAGACACCAAAATCTAGGATTCACGTGTGTGTTTTTTCCAATTTAAATAAAACTGTAGGGTGGTGGCACAATTCTGGCTTTGGAGTCAGTGCAACGATATATATTGAGAAACATGTCAAGTCTTTCGGTCTCCCAACAACCCTTGAAAATAAAAGATACAATTTCAGTGTTTTTTTGCAATTTAGAAAAAAGCTGGGGGGTAGTGGCGCAATTATTTTGTGTGCCTGTGTTATCATTTTGTTTCCTTTTTGCATATGTATAGGCTTTAAGGTAGGTTAACTTGTTCATGGTATTTACTAGTATTCAGTGTTTACATGGAAAAGCCAAACTAGTTCTTCCACTTGTTTGAACTCTCACCTCTTGTATGTTAATTTAAAAAGCCTTATTTTCAAAGTGCACTTCAAGTACTGTCACCAATTTTCAAGAACATGACTTATTAATAGTTTTCAATATTAATAGTTTTCTAAAGTTTAAAAATTCAATTTTATGAATTTTCCAGGAGACATATGGTTGTATGATGCGGTGGAAAAACAGTGGAGAATGCTGCAATTAATTGGTCCTGAAATGCTTCCCAGATATAGTCATACATCTGTGGTATATGAGAACCTCCTAATAATGGTAGGAGGTGTGAACACGCTAGCAGGAAGTCAACCTGGAGTGGGAGTTGTTAATCTAAAATCAAGGACATACACAGAATATGCCCTTCCTGTAAGTATGCCCCAATTTTGTTTTGCAAATTTACTCTATGAAATTCAATTGTGCACAGAAATTGAATGTAAATTGAATAATAGTGATTTTGGGTGATACAATGTTCACAGCTGTCAAGGTTGTGGTTATTGTCAAAAGTCATTGTACTTCACTTTACTAAGATCCTTTAATATTTCTACTAACCATTCTACTGTGTGACATTGTTAATGTTAAGTGAATGATATCTTTCATTTTCTCATTGCTCTTGTGCTGATAAGTGTATGCTCTTTTTGAAAGGCTCAAGATCCAGAGAAGCCTATTCTTCTCCACAATCACACAATGGAACCATTAACAGAAGATGGGTCTGTTCAACTTATAATAGGAGGAGGTGGTAACTGTTTTTCTTTTGGAACTGCTTACAACCGCTCTCTCTTGAAATTAGATCTTGAACAGTTTGTACCGAAAGCAACAGATAAGGAACTCAGTGTTCAAAGCTAGTCATTTGAAAATGTATCCTCGACACTGCTCATATCACTGCTGTGAAGAATTTGAGATTTGACAAATGAATGCTATGCATTAATTGCCTTATTATGTATTGTGTGATTTCAGGAATTGTACATTAAAATAAAACTATTTTAAAAATATATAACTTTTATTTATACTTTTTATATAAAGACTTTTTTATATATTGAATTTCACAAAAACAAAAGTGTAAATAGTACATTACTCTATAAGTAACACAAATTGCCCCTGTAAATATCAGTGGAATGTCAATTGAGGCTAATTAAGAACTTCATTTAAAATGTGAGTCATTTTCTAATAACCATGCAAATGTTTGTATGTGTAACACTTGTATGGAAAGTGGTGAAAACACCAGCAATAAAAATCTTGTATAAAACTTTTGTTTGTGCAACATTCTCTCTACTTCAGTAGTTACATATATATACATCTTTGGAAATCCATGAGGAAATCACAGTCCGCTATCATTTATAAGGCACTGTCTAAAGGCACATAAAATACATCTGTGAATTACACACATTTACATTTGATATTGTCACATTTCTTAAACTCTTTATTATTATTTTCTGCATTTCTAAATGAAACAACAGATCAGAACAGGAAGCACTTACTTTCATGAGCATTTGACACAGCCACTTTTTTTCTTATATTTACATGATTTAATGATTTTAAATCAGCCTTCATTTATATAAGTTTCATTTACAAAAAATGGGATTAAAAAATTTTATGACAATTTCATTTTACGAAAATACAGATAAATAGTTGAGATTTCCAAATCGTGAGTTGAGATCAAAATTAAAATTGAGTCAACTTCTTAAACATCAGGTACATTGCTTTCTTTCAAAATACAAATTTTACCATGGCCTCCACATGTCCTTGTTTCCAGCTTGAGAAGCATCATTCCCACTTGTAGAAGCTCCTTCTGATGTGGATGTGGTAGTAGATGATTGTGAAGGTTTATTTGTAAGATCCTCACCTACAGTAGAATAAGGGTGCTTTGGGGTTGTCACTTTTAAAAGAGGTCCACCAGTGGAAACAGTAGGTTGTTCTAGACCACGAGGGGAAATGTGAATAGCAGGCACTTCTGTTTCAGTTTTGATATGAAGAGAATACCTTGGAATTTTATTTGGAGAGGCAAACATCAGGGAGGATGAAGAATCACTAGGTTCAGTTATACTGAAATTTGCAGGAAGAGACCTCTTCATCCCAAGAGTGGATGTAGTTTGTGTGGAAGCACTCTGTTGATGAGGATGCTCATCCTTCTTGATGGAGAAGTCCAGAGGATCCTTGATAGCTGGTGCAGCACAGAATGTCACTGATGGGACCGTGGGGACTACCGCAGACACAGTCCCAGTCGCACTTTTAAAAGTCGCAGAGGGCTGGGTGGTAATAACAGTAAGAGGCTGGTGCACTGACGTGGGTGCAGCTACAGACAACGTGGTAACAGCAGCGGAAGTCGCAACAGCCGCAGGCGAAGGTGAGGTGGTGATAATGGGAAAAACGGCTGTCCCATGCATGGGAATGGTCTTGAACTCCAGCTTGACCTCGGTGACTGTTCCTACTCCCACCGATGCGGTGGTTTTCGGGGGCGGGGGTGGTGGTGGTG